GAGGACGAAAAGGAGGAAGAGGAGGAGGAGGAGGAGGAGGAGGAGGAGGAGGAGGAAAAGAACAAGAGGAAAAGGAGGAAAAGGAGGAAAAGGAGGAAAAGGAGGAGGAAGAGGACGGGGAGGAGGAAGAGGAGGAGGAAGAGAACGGGGAGGAAGAGGACAAAAAGGAGGAGGAAGAGGAGGAGGAGGAGGAGGAGGAGGAGGAGGAGGAAAAGAACAAGAAGAGGAAAAGGAGGAAAAGGAGGAAGAGGACGGGAAGGAAGAGGAGGAAAAGGAGGAAGAGGAGGAGGAGAAGGAGGAGGAGGAGGAGGGGGAGGTGGAGAACTGAAGGTGGTGGTGGAGGAGGAGGAGGAGGAGGAGGAGGAGGAGGACGTGGACGATGACAAGAGGGAGGATGACTTGGGAGGAGGAGGAGAACGAGGAAGAGGAAGATGAGGAGAAAGAGGAGGAGGAGAACGAGGAAGAGGAGGTGGAGGGGGCTTAAGGGGGACGATGTGTGTTACCTGGAGAAGGAAGACGAGGCTCCCGGCAATGGCAAGCAAGGACAGCAGCGATAGCTCCAGCAGGTAAGCAGCCGTGAGGCGGGGCAGCGGGCCGTCAGCTCCAAAGCACGGGGGTGCGATGAGCAGCAGGCAGCGCGGCCATTGGGCAGCTGGCCGTTGGTGCGGAGGGACAGGAAGGCCAGGGCACTACACCGTACGGTGTCCAAAATGGGGGCTGCATGATTTCAAATTAAAAAAAGGCCCGATCTGGGCCGTAGATCATCGTCTATTAATGGCCCAGATCGAGCCTTTTTTTCTCGAAACCAGTAGGCCCCCTACAAATTCTGAAAGCAGGAGGGTGTTCAGGCTAGCCCCCTCTGCCCGTGGTCCGCTAGACCTACAAAAAAAAAAAATTCGGACTGCGAATATTTTGTGCAGGCCCCGGAAATAGTATTTCCAGTTTTATCCCGTGTCCTTCTTCCCACCGAAAATACCAGATAATCGAAGGACATCCGGATATCCAGATTTGCTACTTCAGAACGTGGCAAGAAATCTTCCGCTAGAACATGGAAAGATACACGGCCATGATTTTTGTCTTTGTGCATTTCAAGAGTAGTGCAGCGAGGCCCTTACACATTTGTTCACACGTACACGACGCACACTGAAAAGGGTACACTACACAAAAGTACAAAGCACACTTGAAAGAGCACGAAGTACACACATAATTGCTTAAGCCGGCGGGTCATGGCACCCCAACCGCTTTCGACCGCCGCCACCCGGTCACCGTCAGGGGGCGGTCCACCAATCTTCAACCCTAAAACGTTTACGGTCCCTCCACTTTCTCCCACCTCCGCCGTTGGCCATACCGACATCTCCCCACACGCCGTAGATCAGACAGCGCGGGACCCAAAAAGGCCTCAAGCTATGCAATCATCCCTAATATACTACAGTCACACTATCGCGTCCCACAATGATCAGAGCTTACCTACTCCGTACTTCAACTGTTCAGCACCAAAGACCAAACTAACGGTCAGTCGGTGGTAGATTACCGTAGGTAACATTAAAAAAAAAAAAAAAAAGAACCATCGCAGAAGAGTCATGCAGCGTAGTACGGGTCCACACAGTCTCCGGTCCCAGACGTGCCTCAACGCCAGACTGCTACTGACCAGTATGCAACAGGCCCGGAACGCAACGGGTTCAAACCTTCAAGAGAGAGAGAGAGAGAGAGAGAGAGAGAGAGAGAGAGAGAGAGAGAGAGAGAGAGAGAGAGAGAGGTGGGTTGGTTATCACACGCACACACACACACACACACACACACACAGAGAGAGAGAGAGAGAGAGAGAGAGAGAGAGAGAGAGAGAGAGAGAGAGAGAGAGAGAACAGGTGAAGTCTCCAACCTCGCGGCTGGTCTCATGGTACAACCCAAAATGACAGCTGACGTTCAGAAAGACTAGTACCCGATGACATTGTACAGAAGTGCATCGGTTCAAGGCCCCACTCCAGTCGACAAAGCATTGTTCAACAAGACGACACCACACTGAACCAGATCAAACTTTAAGCTTGCGTAGTCAATGCATCAACACACACAGAGTGAACAACAACAACCTAATAGTGTAGCGGATCGAAGCCCTCCATTGACAAAGCGGCAAACATGCACCGAGACATACCTACAAACCAGATGCAGGACCACATCTTCTCACAAGGCTAACTAACCCTGTCCTTTATTTTTTTTTATTCTTTTTATTTTTTAAACAAAAAAAAACTACAATGTTCCGACATACCATGACCCGCCGGCTTACGCAAAAAAGTCAGATTTCAAATTCGCGACAAGTAGATCACTTACCGTACACTCAGACTGCCGCGGGATTTGGTCCACGTGCATGTCCAGAATCAGGCCATCTCAGATTCGGTATGTCCGACTCCGCTGGATTACGATTTCAGCGCCCAATTCAGGTCGGGATTCATTTTCTCTCTCTCTCTCTCTCTCTCTCTCTCTCTCTCTCTCTCTCTCTCTGTGTGTGTGTGTGTGTGTGTGTGTGTGTGTTCCGTACCCCCATTTCCTGCGCGCTTCTTTTCAAGCCTTGTTTCCGCAATCCCAACTCCACAGAACCGCAACCAATCCTCTCTCTCTCTCTCGATCGATCGATCGATCGATCGATCGATCGATCGACTCTCTTGATCGATTTGATAAGTGAAGCAATATCCCTCCTTATCTGACGTGATTGATGGGTGTCGATGAAGGATCGCTGCCAGTCCCAACCTTGATCTCTATCCCAATCCCGACGCTGGTCGCGCACCTAATCCGGAGATCGATCCCAATTCTGATGCCGAGGAAGATTCCAAGCCTGATTCCAAACCGAATCCGACCTGATTGAGGTTATGCCCGATCCCGAGCCCGATTCCAAGCCTGATACCGACCGTGATCTGGATGCTGAAGCTGATGCCGAGCCTGGGTCCGACGCATCTTTTTTTTTTTTGTTTAACCAAACTCTTGGTAACCATGTAAGACGATAAGATGTTAGAGAGAGAGAGAGAGAGAGAGAGAGAGAGAGAGGGAGAGAGAGAGATTACATCACTGCATTACCTTTCTGTTCTGTTCTTTTTTTTTTTTTTTTTTGGCGACTATTTCTCAATATATGTGTGGCATCCTTGCGCAAGGGCTCTGCTAATGTTCGTTCTCTACAAAAAAAAAAAAAAAAAAAAAAAGGTTCGTTCTCTCTATGGTTCCGATTTTAACGGATGTCCCAAAGGACCCTTAACTGACATTTCGTTAAACCTGACATTTTTTTTCTAAATCCATGAAAGTGGACTTAGTCAAAATTTCATTTCTCATGGGGTGAGAATGTGGTTATCTCACTTTGCCATTTGATGTATCTGTACGCAAAGTACCGTCAAAATACATCCGTGGGTGCAGTCATGGGGCCTTCGTCGCCACGCCCGACCATCAGATCGTCCGAAGTCATGGGGACAAAAAAACGCAAAAAAATTCTGTTTTTTTTCGTACGCTCAATTTCGTTGCTCCGACGGAAACTTACTAGGGGAAAAAAAAAAAAAAAAAAAAAAAATGAAAGGAAAAAAAAGAATTAAAAATGAAACAGGAGCTGCGTTGGAAGTGTCCAGGCCAACAAACAGGCGCCGAGAAGCCGCACCCACAACCACTTGCCACCCAAAAAAAAAAAAAAAAAAAAAAAGGTGCATCAGGAAGCATAGCAGTATTCTTAGGCATAGTACAGTACGATTTTTCAAGTACAGCCCTCCGTTCTATTTTTAGCCATAGTATCATCGGTTCTCTTTTTTTTTTTTTTTTTTGTTTTAGAAAATGCAGAAATATCGCTTTTGTCGAAGTATTTTCCAAGTACAGCCGTCCGTTCTTTTTTTTTTTTTTTTTCCCCTTTTTTTTAACCCTTCGGACCAACCAATCTCCAAAAACAATCATACAGCAGTTCATTGACTGAACCTACACTGATCCTCTCACAGCTGCATCGGTTCTCTCTCTGTTTTTTTTTTTTTTTTTTTTTTTTTTTTTAAAGCGCGCCGCACTCTGCTGCAGTGCAATACAGAGGCAACGCTGAAGGGATCAAGCAAGCAACCGCTGAAGGGATCAAGCAAGCAAGCTTACCCGTACGACCCCTCCGTTGCCCAGAACAATTCATTTAATATCGTCGGGTCCGATGGACCACGGATCAGATATTAAACTGATCCCTTCAGTTTAATATCTGATCAGAACAGATACTTACACTTGATCCGACCCAAAGGCCGAGAACGGTATTCGGTTCCATTTTTAGAAAATGCAGAAATATCCTTTTATCCTTCTGCTAAGGCATAATATCCTGTGTTCTATTTTTAGGACATAGTACGTATGAGCATTGTCCAGATCCTAACAAGCCAGGTGAGCTGGGATCCCTACTACCCGCAGGAGGATGAGCGGATAGAGGGGCTAACCTTCTTCACCCAAACACAAAGCACGGTCCTTATAGCTGTATTCAGGCCAACATCGAGTCCAGATACAGCAATGATGACCGTGCGTTGTATTCGGGTGAAGACGGGTAGGCGGGGAGCGAGAGGGGAACCGGGGGCGGCGGGTGGAGGGGTGGTAATCGGGTCAGACGAACCTTGACTGTTCCTTCTCCGTCCATCTCTAAAACGCATCATCAGAGTCGCGACCCAGTCCACCTCCGACTGCCACGTGTCTGACACGCGGCGGTGACATGTGGCGGTGACACGTGGCGGTGACACGTGGCAGTGACAGTCGATGGGGGGTGAGGGAGGAACCGCG